AGCATTTGGAAATATTAAGCGTGTGAATAAATTATTATTACTATGCTAATGACAAACTAGACGAATGAAATATTATTAAAAAAATTAAAACTAGATAAAAACATTATAAATTAGACTTTCATTTTACATGAAAGTATACGACAAAGAGATTTGAAGGTCGATCTTACCAGAAGAGGACAAATTATTCGCGTTGTACTGCAGCCATGTGGCTTTGATGCGACGTTAAGATTGGATTCCTCCTTCGATTCGGATAAAAACGAGTTGAGCTTTCTTCTATCATTCGATAAACATCATCAGAGCTGATTCTCATTTCTGTAAAAGCCTCATGTTAACACTCATATATAGACTCGAATAAGCAAAATAATATTAAAAGCATAGATAGCTATAGAGTGGTGTTGTTAATAACAACGCATCTGACGGACCCGCAAAGCTCACATTTGTCCACTACTTTGTTTCTCTTCTAATAAGCATTAGCTAAGCTTGGAGCGGGACTTAAACCTCGGCATATATTAGGATGCATTTAAATATTACTTTTTAACATAGCATTAATAACAATAATAGTAACAACATCAAGAGTAGTAGTAGTGGTAGTAATAGTGATAGTATTAATAGCAGTAATGGTTTTCTCCTTCTTAGTATCATCATCATCAGAAGAATCGCTGGCTCATGAAGGTTACATAATTTAATCGGCTAATATTGTTCATCTGACCTCATTTGTCATTGCATAGATTAGTTTGACCAAATCTTATGCAGAAGATGGAGTTTACTTGTCTAGATGACTATATTATGCATGCCGGTATTATTAAAAATGATTAATTATTCAGTCTTGACAATCTGATGCTATATCGAATGGCAACCAGTTGCACTTGTCATAGAAAGGTTCTGCAAGGCTGGCACACGAATATACGGGGCCACGGATTCAAAGACTACTTTCTGTTGGTCCGCCCACCCTTTGAATTTGCAAACAAGGTGACTAATTTATTTAAAAAAGAGGAATATTTGCACAGAGAAGCTCCTTAAATTGCAAGTGCTCTTCTGCATATCTGTGTCACTTGTGTATATGTGTGTTTGTGTTGCTGGACTCAGAAGATATGACTTGCCAAGTCAAGTATAACTTGGTGCTGGCCAAAAGCAATTCTTGCAATTTCATGTCATTTTGGCCATCAAGTTGATTGTAGGCCCGCCTAATTTGGCTTAGCAGAGTTGAAGATTAGCGTCGATTTGGCGCATCTACTCGTAATTGACGGCAATCTAATCTGACTCGAGTATGTTCCTGTTTCTTATACTAGATAGCGGTTTTGCCTCAATTTTTCTGGCCAATACTACTCCAATCCACCTTTAGGTATACATATATACACACATAAAAATCGAATGCATACAGGCACACCATTTTCTGGCCGAACGATGGTGAGTCAGAGGCTGAGCTGCTGCGGCGTAGGCAGGTCCATAATGACTGTTCGAGCCTTGGCTCGGCCGGTTTTCCAGCTTTCCAGTCCGAGGCGAGGGAAAAAAGCGGGCAGCAGCCTGGCCAATCGGTACTAAAATAGGGACATATTTCGCGGCAGAATGCGGGTTTGTCTGCAGCACAATTCGTACGAGTGTCCGGAAACTCGACGAAATGCCCAACAGGCCATTTAACACCAAGCCCTTTCTCCTCACTTCAACTGAAGACCTCTTCCTCTCGACGTCCGGTGGTGGAGGGGACTCTTAAGCTACTATAAAGCGGCAGAATTCCTCTTCTAAAATTGACTTATTCAAACGTCTTATAAAGAAATTGCCTGCTGCAAGCTACAAATAAAATATCCAGAATTACAGACAGGCAGACAGACATACAGACAGACAGATAGACAAACAGACATTTCTATTACAGGTTAGACAGTCTCGAAACCAGTGATTAGGTGTTGTAGGCATAAAACTGACCAGAATAAAACTAATAAGATAAGTTATGATTTTGACATAGGCACATTCAAGTGGGTTTTGAATAAATTGAAGAAAAAATGTTTAAAAACTGACTATTATTTTGTTATTCAACTGACAGAGCAAAATCTTTGCCAATTTGAGTTCCGTTTAAGAAGCATCTTGTGACAGGCGATCTGTTCTGGCAAAATGAATGTTGTAAATTGCATCCAATCTGGTGGATGGAGCATAAAAGGCTCGAAGACTTTGTTTTAATGGGAAGTCGTCTTGTCGCGAGAGCCCTATTGACATGACAACAAGGCAGAGACTCAGAGCAAAATGTGCTCCCCACCACCAACAACCACTTCCCGTGTTCTGTTGTCGCCAAAGGCAGTAAAAACCGAGGGTCGGGAGCACGCAGTGCTTATCTGAGCCTGATTGCATAAGGCAGTGTTTGGTAGACCTTTTTTGCTGATTCTCTTGCTTTTATGCCTTTTGTGTGAATACTTGATAACAAGCAGTGCTGGTGCATCCTAAATCAGGCAAGAGCCTTTTCTGTTGGCAACATGAGCTGGACCGTACGAGCAAATGGGCACTTAAGGCTGTATGACTGGGGGTGTGTCTACTCGTGGCACAACGAGACCGCTTTTACGCCAGTCCCAGTGGACCAGAAATGTTGCATAATTAAATTGGCAAAGCAGACACATTCATACAAAGTGGCTTTTCGAGTGCTTCACACAATATTGATTCAAACAACTCTGGATGGACTAGTTGAAGTTTCCCACAATCGCATCACTTTCTCCAAACAAGAATGCTTCAGAAAGCAAATAGAATCTTCTGCATAGTCCGCTGGTGGGATATCCCTTCAATTCTATTTAGCAATTTTGTACAAAATTTCACTTAAACTTCAAATGGGGGCAACAACTGTAAATCAAGAGACTGTTTATGT